ACAGGAGAGGGTGGGGGTGACCCCAGAGGACTCGCCTTTTATTTCATTTGATTTGTTTTATTGTCCCATACAAGAATATATATGGTTTCGGGGTGGGGATCTTGACCGTTTACAAGTTTTCAAAACAAGAGGCTCTCAAGAGCCTGTGTCGCTCACCTGATTCTACTTTGGTTTTGGAAATCATGTAAAAATAGATTAAAATCATAACAGATACCCTAATAATGAGTGAGGCCAAATTTGGTTAAATATTGGTCCTGTAATTTAATAAAAAATCCTGGTGGCCATCTTGAACAGTAAATCGGCAACAAAGTAGCAACACTTCATCAGCACCTAATAAGAAACATTTATGCCATGTTTTGGTTTCATTCCATTCAGTTCACCTCCAGAAGAAGCATTTGTATGTATTTTCCATAGGGTCTTATGTTAAAAGAAGTCTCCCAATTGGCGGCCATCATGGATGAAGGATCAGCTTCAAAGTAACAAAACTTAGTCAGCACCTCATAAGGAACATTCTTGCCATGTTTGGTTTCAGTCCATTCAGTATGTGGTTCTCTAAAAGAAGACATTTGTATGTAGGGTCCTTTGTTAAACATTGTCCCCATCTGACGGCCATCATGGATGAAGGATCAGCTTCAAAGTAACAACACTTGGTCAGCACCTCAAAAGGAACATGCATGCCATGTTTGTTTTCATTCCATTCAATGGTTCTCTAAAAGAAAGTATTTGTATGTATTTCTCATAGGGTCCTATGTTAAACTAAGTCCTCCGCTGGCGGCCATCTTAGATTATGGATCGGCTTCATAGTAACAACACTTGGTCAGCACCTCATGAGGAACATTCATGCCATGTTTGGTTTCATTGCATTCAGTGGTTCTCTAAAAGAAGACATTTGTATGTATTTCCCATAGGCTCCTATGTTAAACTAAGTCTCCCGCTGGCGGCCATCTTGGATGATGGATCCGCTACAAAGTAACAACACTTGGTCAGCACCTCATAAGGAACATTCATGCCATGTTTGGTTTCATTCCATTCAGTGGTTCTCTAAAAGAAGACGTTTGTATGTATTTCCAATAGGGTCCCATGTTAAACTAAGTCCCCCGCTGGCGGCCATCTTGGATTATGGATCGGCTTCAAAGTAACAACGCTCGGTCAGCACCTCATAAGGAACATTCATACCATGTTTGGTTTCATTCCATTCAGTGATTCTCTAAAAGAAGACATTTGTATGTATTTCCCATAGGGTCCTATGTTAAACTAAGTCCCCCGCTGGCGGCCATCTTGGATAATGGATCAGCTTCAAGGTAACAACACTTGGTCAGCACCTCATAAGGAACATTCATGCCATGTTTGGTTTCATTCCATTCAGTGGTTCTCTAAAAGAAGACATTTGTATGTATTTCCCATAGGGTCCTATGTTAAACTAAGTCCCCCGCTGGCGGCCATCTTGGATGATGGATCCGCTACAAAGTAACAACACTTGGTCAGTACCTCATAAGGAACATTCATGCCATGTTTGGTTTCATTCCATTCGGTGGTTCTCTAGAAGAAGTTCAAAATGTAAAAAGTTAACGACGACGACGGACGACGGACGCCAAGTGATGAGAAAAGCTCACTTGGCCCTTCGGGCCAGGTGAGCTAAAAATAGGGGTGGGTATCTCGACCGTTTACAAGTTCTCAAACAGGAGGGGATGGGGGTGACCCCAGGGGACTTGCCTTTTACTTCATTTGATTTGTTTTCTTGTCCCATACAAGAATATTTATGGTTTAGTGGTGGGGATCTCAACTGTTTACCAGATAAAACATTCTCAAATTGAAGGGGGTGGGGGTAAGAATATATATGGTTTAGGGAGACTTATATATAATTATCTACAAAATGACTAGTAATGTTTTTACTATATTTATACAGTCCTATATAGCTTATAATCATCAGCACTAAGGAAACAGAGAATTTTCAAATAAATCTGTGACTCCAATTATAATTGTGAGATAAGACATTTACCATATGCTTTGTCATAATCTGATAACAGGACATGCGCTGCCTGAATCCTCCTCCCCTGTGGATCATATCCATACTTATGTACATATCTTTAATCTTTTGTTATTTGATTTTTTGTGTGCTTTGTATATTGATCTGTTGAGATTCAAGCCTTTTAAATTCAGCTGATTTTTATAACTTGTTTTTATACGCCCGTTTACGGGACGTATTATGGTATACCGTTGTCCGTCTGTCATTCTGTCTGTCCGTCGTCAACATGTCGGACATTAACTCAAAAACGCTTTAACCAATTTGCATAAAACTTGGACGAATTGTTTATATCTATTGACGTGAGCTCCCTTTCATTTTTTATAAATTTTAGATTTTACGTTTCCGAGTTATGGGGTTTTATTCATTAAAAAAAGGGGGATTTTCCAGTTTTCGGACAATTACTCAAGAATGCTTTCACCAACTTGCAATAAATTGTGATGAATTGTTTATATCTATTGACATCAGCTCCCTTTGGATTTTTACAAATTTTAGATTTTACGTTTCCGAGTTACAGGGTTTTATTCATAAAAAAAGGGGGGTTTTCCAGTTTTCGGACAAAAACTCAAAAATGCTTTCAGCAGTTCTTATGAAACTTTGGTGAATTGTTTATATCTATTGATGTAAGCTCCCTTTAGAATTTTATAAATTTTAATTTTACATTTCTGAGTTATGGGATTTTATTCATTAAAAAAGGGGGGATTTTCCAGTTTTCGGACAATAACTCAAAAATGCTGTCAGCAATTCTAATGAAACTTTGGTGAATTGTTTATATCTATTGATGTAAGCTCACTTTTAATTTTCATAAATTTCTAATATGACATTGAGAATTAATTTATTATTATTTGTTTATAGTCTGACAACAGATTTACTTAGTATTGCGCAACAGCACATTGTATTGCACAACAGCAAGAAATCTTTAATTGAATATGAATTCAATTCATATAACCAATTTCATGTTCTTTGACTACATTTATTCAGAAACCTATAATATGTCAAATATTTAATTACAATCCAAATTCAGACCTGTATCAAGCTTGAATATTGTGTCCAGCAAGCAGTTTATTATGATGTGCTGTACATTCAGTTTGACGTTAAACCACATTTGCAGGTGCCTCAGGGGAGAGCAGAGGCAGATTTAGGTGGGGCATGGTGCCCAGGCCCCTTCCTCAGGAGCAACATTTATGATTAATTCAGACTTTTTACCTGATCCACTCCAAACGTTGCCTAGGTTGGGGCCTGTAGTACGTCCCCCCCCCCCCCACCCACCCCCCCCCCCCTTTTTCTAAATCCTGTTCTGGATCTGGAGAGTTGGATACCCTCAAACATGTTAACCCCACCACATTCTGTATGTGCTCGTCCCAAGTCTTGTTTTTCACTGTACATAATCAGGCTGTTAGTTTTGTCATGCCAGGCAGCTACTTAGTCCAAATAATTATGACGTCTTGAAAGACTATTTTATTTTTTTCTGTGACGCCTTGAAGGCGTCACAGAAAAAAAATTGAAATAGCCTTTCAAGACGTCATTATTATTTGGACTAGCCAGCTACTGAGCTAGGCATCTTAATTTTCTTAATCAATATCTTCTTCCAATTATACTGGCTGTATAACTGCCCACATTAAACTTTCTGAATATACTGGCAAATTAATATCACTCATATATTTCTGAAACAGCCAAGCTATGCTTCTAAAATCTAGGTAATTCAAAAGTCTTGACTTAATGCCTACCTACATGCCAATCTTCTTACGGCAAAACCAATTCAGAAATTCATTTTCATTTGGCCCTCCCCCTTTTAATCGAATTATACCCCATCTTCAAACATAGATACTGATATAAACTAAAAAACTTACCACAATAAAAGATACTTTATTACAGTTTACCATGAACCAAAAAATCACAATACCAAGCAAGCAAATATATAGATATTTGATAGTTTTTCCCCATACTTGATGACATTCATTTTTGTTTACATTTTCCCCCAAGTCACATAGACCGTACATATTACAAGCCAAAAGAGCTAAGTTCGATCCGAAAGTTAACCCGATATGTACAATCTGTGAACAGGAAAATGAAGATCTAGAACATTTTATTCTACGCTGCAAAGAATTGGAGCAAATAAGATCTAAATATTGCTCAAAAATAGAACAGACAATGGATGAAATTGATACCTCAACATACAAGAAGGGAATTTACTGCAGCTCATAATGGACTGTACTAGCAAGGACATAAACTGTTACTCAACTGTGTATGAAAACATTGAAACTCTGGCTAGAAATATGTGCTACGACATGCACATGCTGGGCACAAAAAGGATTAAAAACTTGAACACAAGTACAGTATAAGTAAACTTTTTTAAAATAAAATAGTTCCCTACTTTACCATCTTACTATTTTATGACGTATTAGGACGTAAATTAAATAAAAATTTTTGCAAAGTTTTACGATATCCAGTTACCTTTAAAGAATAATAATAAGATCCGAAATAAGGTAACTTTAAACTGTGAAGGAAAACTTATGTATATATGATGAATTGTTCTAAACCCCAACCCTTTTACATAAGTCTTATAAAATAACCTTCTCATTATAAATTCTGACGTACGTATAGCACCTTTAACTAACAATTATAAGAAAGTTTAATTTAAGACCACTTAAATTCTAAATTCTTATTTGTAAATATATCCAGTTCTTACTTAACTTATTCTTACACTTCAGCACATTATGAATATTATTTTTAAAATTTTATGATGACAATCCTATGAATTAGTTATAATATTAATTATTTAGTAATTATTATTGCCTAAATTCAGTCATCTGTACATAATTAAATGTTTCCTTATGTTCTAAGGTGTATATAGTTGCTACAATTATACCCTATGGGTAGTGCTCCACAATTAATGGAGGAATATACAAGAAACTGAACTGAACTGAACATGCAAGTCGAATGCTCGTTTCTCTCCCCTATGCAATACATCCCAATATTTACTTGTGAAACCAAGTAACATAAATCCTTTTTAGAGTCTCAATCTCTTTTATAGAGCAAACATTCTGTTTTGCTTTTAGTGGAAATTAATTGCAGACTTGCAAGTATTTTTTGCGATTTATGAGAGGTATTTATACTTGAAATAATCCAGTCATACATTTATCAGTATAAAAACTGAATACCTCCAAATTATGGCTCTAAGCTTAAGACATATAGCGTTAATCAGAGAAACGGTCATTCAAAGAGTTACTTTGACATGTAAATATATATATACTCATCCTAAACCATTATGTATATATAAGAATTATAGATTATAACATGTCCTTTTCCATATTGGCCCTGGTATCAACCTGAGTAGACTCCAATAATTTAGCCCAAGGCGCCAGCGTAGGGCTCATATGGGCCGAGGGGCGATACCAAAGCCCATATCGAAAAGGACATTGTATAATCTGTTTTGTCACATATTATACAAGAGGATCGTTATGGGGGGTACCTATGAATAACGGTAAAAATCTTGCCAAATGACGTTTAAAAGGTAATTTTTGGGGCATGACAATAAATTGTACATTTTCTTTATGACGATAAACAGATCAACTGATTTTGACGAATCCCGTTAAATTCTTTCCAAAAATAATGGTAACGAATAATTATTTTAGACCTCTAACAAATCAATTCATGATAAGGATATTTTGACGAATCATGATAAAATTTTAACCAATTTGACGTTAACAGTAGTTGAAAATGACTGTTTGACGCCTGACGATAAAGGGCATTCCTACCCTCATACAAATGCTTAAAAAAAAGTAGAAAGAATTTTATCACTCCGTCCGGCAAGATCATACATTTTTCATTGTTTTTGTTCTCCACTGAACATGCTGAAATAATTCTGTTGTCATTTGTATCGACGTTCCTTGTCCGTCGTTGTTGTTTTGAACAATTATGTCACTCAATTACAGGGCACAATAAATAGTTATTTACCCCGGGTATGCTGGTGCAGCCTCTTCTAATAAGACAAAGAAATATGAATTTGTAACTAGACTTTCTTCTGTGATATTGTGTTATATTTTCCTGTGTATATTTGTATGATTATTAAACTTAAGATTAATTGGATAGCCTGGTGACTATCAAAAAAGATACCCAAAGTTAGTTCTAACTCTCCTTTGATGTTGGTTTGGGTATTGTAATTGGTGATAGGTTGTACATAATCTAACAGCACAAACATACATACATATACTATGACGCCTTTGAAGGGAATGGGCCATTGCCTAAGGAGTCTGTGCTTGAAGTTGGTCATTCACCATGATGTTAAAAACTAATAAGCTGGCATGGATACAATATTTGATTTATTTGGGGAGGGGGCTTAAAAAACCTTATTTTCATGCAAAATTGGCTGTAAACTTACCTTATCAAATTATTTTTTCTTTTTTTTAAGAGGGTGGGGGGCTGGGGGACCCCCACAGGAATCAACACCTAATTAAGATATAAAAGCAAAACCAATATTTAAAAGGATAACAAATTGTGAAAGAATTTAAAACAGAAAAAAAAAGCCTGGTTAAACCAGGAACATATATATTGACGGGACTTGACACTACCTGATTGTAGTCGATTTATCGTCGTGCCATAGTTAATAAAGATACGATACAGAAACGGACATGTGTTAAAAACGGACTCGCTATTATCCTAATAATTTCTGATATTATCAATAAAATGTCATTCAAACTAGTTTTATAGTGATGCTAGTGTATCAAACTTGTATTCTGTCACTTTAAATTTGTTAAAATCGCAAGCATTTCATCACAGAATTGTGCAGAATGCAAACAAGGTAATAAAAAAATGGCGGCCATTGCCGCATTGATTTATAATTCCCAAACTATTATAAAACACTTCACATCAATTAAATCCAAATTATTTTGGTAATTTTATATGACAAAATATATCTACTAAATGATAAAACTTGTATTTATTTACAATTAGAGTTATGTGGTTTATTTGTTGAGCAGTTCTGATAGTTTTTCAGTCAGACGCTACCAAAATCCGTAAATCTCGGGAAGTCTCGAGGAGTCCGAGATTTTATCAATTTTATACTGAAAAGCGTATCAGATTCATTTCCCGTTAGCTATACTGTTCCCAGGTTAAACTTTAAGCTTATATAACGTTACACACCATGAACAGATAACCATTATTGCAGAAAGCTACCAAAGACAACCATTGATTGGACAACAGGCTTTTGACATCCAAAAGGCACATAATTCTGTCATGCCTGCAGTGGTTGGAAGTGGGAAAGTGCCTGGACATATTTACAGTACATATGCCTCATCTCATCTCACTGAATTAGGGCCTATACTCTCATAAAACTTTACTCACTCTCAGTACTCAGGAGTACAAAATTTATTCTCGAAACACTCAAATTCAGCATTTTATTTGGTCAAATTCTGAGTCTGAGTACGATAATCATACTCCAAATTTTTATGACAGCAAAGCCAGATAATGAATATCATGCAAGTACAGGTATGATATACATTGAAAACAGAGATGATTTGTTACTGTCAAATTTCAGATACATATAGTGAATAACCAGTTTTGCCATGGCAGCTGTTTTGATGTCAATAGTAATTGGTATAGGTGTGTTGATTCTCGCAGTTATCATTATAAACTTGATCAAGTTCTTACAATGGCATGGTAATATGGTCAAGACGCTGTCTCATTTTCCAGGACCTAAAACACATTGGTTGTTTGGAAATGCACTCCAGGTATTTATTCTAAAAACAGTATACAGAGCATTCTAATTTCAAGAATTTAAATACATAAGTATGAAAATAAGGCCTAGGATGGGCAATGATTGCTAATGATACAACTATTTTATAAAGACTAATGGACAGTTAGGATGTTCACAACTACAGGTCATTGTACAGACTTCATCAATGAGGAATTCCATAGTGTGTATAAGCTATATATAAAAGGCCTCAGGAAAACAAAATATTAAATAATTCAAAATACAGAGACTTTATTATTAAAAGAATGTGGCAGGTTTAAACATGTTTGTGTGTGCTCAACCCTCCCAATATAGGATAGTGGCTAAACAGCACAATGTAAGAACAAACTGTAAAGATTAAAAAGGTGAAACTCATCCAATCAGTTCTAAGCACAAGAATAACTAACAAAATGAAAACAAACCACAATTTCAAGTAATAAACAGTCCATGTTTTCCCAGACTAAAAATGATCTAAAATATATGTTGAACTCAATACTAAATTTGTGAAGGTAAGACAGTTTATACTGAATTGGTTGTATCTCATTGTCAAATTGGAATGTTTGTCGATTCAGTATAACTATAAATGCATATTAATAAAAGATGTGACATATATGTTAATGAGACAGCAACGCAACAACACAAATAGCTATAAAAAAGATATATAAAGATCAACATACAGTCTTCAACAATAAAGATATGTTTATACAATGTATTTACCAAGCATTTCATTGTCCTCAGTGTAAAAAAAAAGAATGAAAATTTAACTGAAACTATCAAAGACATTTCAACTATATTTGCTGGTATCAGTGTTAATGGTATATGAGAAAAATTAATTCACAGTTTTTATAATTTGATTATTAAGGCAACCAGTTTTAAGGCAACCATAGACCCATGATCTTGTCCTGAAGATATATGTAATAGTTGCCACTGGACATTATATATAATTTTTCTAACTAATTTCACTAATGGGTATGACACTCTTTTGGGATGTGGGACATATTGGGTAAAAAAAGGTGGGGATGTAGGATATAGGGGGTTAAAAAATGGGATCTGAAAAAAAATTATGAACTAGGAAGTGGGAAAAAATTACAAAAAAAAGGATATGGGAAATGCGCACCTGTGTATTACCGCCCACATTACACCTGGCATTCTGATTTTTGTAGATTGAAACATTTGATGGATTTTTCAAGAAGATGTGTAAGGAATATGTGGAAGAAAAAAGATGTAAAGCTTTTGTCTACTGGTTATTTGTTATACGACCTTTATTGACCTTGACCCATCCAGACACTATTAAGGTCGTAATGAAATCAACTGCACCAAAGTCCAGACAAGGGGCAGGAATTTCCTTTATGTTACCATGGATTGGTAGGTTATGCAATTAAGTCCATACAAAAGGCAGATAGTTTGATTTTGATATTATTATTGAAAATAGCATGCCTGCTCATGTCACGACCAGGTTCACAAATTTCAATTATAATCCCATGGATTGATAAATTCAATTTGAAAAAGGCAACCATACATGATGACATTCCAAAAAATTATTTTCTTCATTGTTATAAAATTTCTGTTTTTGATTATATCTTGATAATATCAACATATGATCAACTCTATAAAAATAATCACTCTTTTATTTTCATGGTACCAATTTTTGTTGATTGAGGGAAAATTGCATTTCATGATTTTTGCTAATATTTGATTCTATGGTTTTGTGAAATTCTGAATACAATCCTCCAGAAAATGTATACTCCGCTGAACGATTTAATGTGTGGTTTACCTTTACCAGTGAATTCTATGAAAATTGGTATCTCACGAATAATAATGAATTTACAGTAGAAAAAAAAGATTAAACAGCATCACATAGGCTGCATGATATCTTTACTCTCATCAATTAAATTCTCAAATGTTCAATTATTTGAAAGCCTTATACTAGAAAACTTTACATAATTTGTCAAATATCTAACGAAAGTTTTAAATAAAAAAAATATATTCTTATATTTATGAACAGGTGAAAGTTTACTGGTATCGGATGGACCAAAGTGGGAAAGAAACAGAAGATTGTTGACACCAGCTTTTCATTTCTCCATTTTGAATGGTTATTTCAAAATCTACAATGATGTGACAGATACATTATTAGTACGTAATTTTTATGTAACTTTATTATCATAATTGGTACGTAGTCAACATAAAAAATAATTGTTTTTAGTTACTGAATTCCATTGCTCAAAAAGTTTACTTTATACGACAGCAAGTAACGCGCACATTGGTGTATTCTTTTAAGAAATATCACTGATTTATAATATATGAGAGCCAAAATATGATACAGAATTACCTGTTGGTATTTGAAGTGAAAAAATGTTCATATTTGTTCGTAATATATTGTAAATAATTGAATGTCATATTTAGATATAAGAGACAACAACAAAACTTTTTACTTACAATTTGTCACTAGCAAAATAATAGATAAAGGTACAAATAAGAAATTTTTCAAGTTTTTTTCCAATTTCGATGTATATGTGTTTCACCCTTTCGAAAAAGGAGACATGCTGTTTTATCCTGAACGCTTAAATATGACAAAGATTTGAACTTGACTTTTGTCTATAATGTCAATTTAAATTTTTTTTTATGCCCCCGCCGTAGCAGTGGGGGCAATAAGTTTTACCCTTGTCCGTCTGTACGTACGTACGTCCGTACGTCCCAAAATTGGTTTCAGTTCTCTAACTTGAGTTTGCCTCAACCAATTGTTATGAAACTTATACACAATGCTTATTACAACAAAACACAGATCAAGTTTGAATTTTGGTGGCGTCACTTTAACCGTTCTAGAGTTATGCCCTTTATAAATGGAAAAATTGCAAAATTTTTAGTTTCCGTTCTCTAACTTAAGTTTGCCTCAACCAAATGTTATGAAACTTATACACAATGCTTATTACCACAAAACACAGATCAAATTTGAATTTTGGTGGCATCACTTTAACCGTTCTAGAGTTATGCCCTTTATAAATGGAAAAATTGCAAAATTTTTAGATTCCGTTCTCTAACTTAAGTTTGCCTCAACCAAATGTTATGAAACTTATACACAATGCTTATTACCACAAAACACAGATCAAATTTGAATTTTGGTGGCATCACTTTAACCGTTCTAGAGTTATGCCCCTTTATAAATGGAAAAATTGCAAAATTTTTATAGTTTCCGTTCTCTAACTTAAGTTTGCCTCAACCAAATGTTATGAAACTTATACACAATGCTTATTACCACAAAACACAGATCAAGTTTGAATTTTGGTGGCGTCACTTTAACTGTTCTAGAGTTATGGCCCTTTATAAATGGAAAAATTGCAAAATTTTTATTTTCTTCTAAATGTCAAGTAATTTTAAAATTGGAGTTATCTTCCTTTGTCCATGATTATAGTTGAATCAACTACAACCAATGCTTTATACAATGCAATGTTTAATTTTGACTTCCAGTGATAAAACACAGATCAAGTTGAATTTGGGTAGTGTCACTTTAACCATTATTGAGTTATGCCCCTTTATTTCGAAAGATTGCAAAATTATTAGTTTCCATTCTGTTACTTAAGTTTGCCCCAACCAAACATTATGAAACCTATACACAATATTCATTACCACAAAACTAAGATCAATTACAAATTTTTTGTTTCCGTTTTCTAACTTTAGTTTGCCTCAACCAAATGTTATGAAACTTATACACAATGCTTATTACTACATAATACAGATTAAGTACGAAATTTGGTGGCGACACTTTTACCATTCTTGAGTTATGTCCCTTTATAAACATAAAAATTGCTGAATTTTTTAGTTTGTCTCAACCAAATGTTATAAAACTTACACACAACTGTTCTAGAGTTATGCGTGTTTACAAATAGAAAAATTGCTGAATTTTTAGTTTCTGTTCTCTACTTAAGTTAGCCTCATCCAAATGTTATGAGACTTACACACAATGCTCATTACCACAAAACTCAGATCAAGTTCAAATTTGGGTAGAGTCACTTTTATTGTTCTTCAGTTATGTCCCTTTATAACTATATGATATGCAAGCGGGGGCATCATCTGTGTCCACATGTGGACACTATCCACATTTATTTTTTAATAAGTATGTACCAAAACCTTGTTTTCTTTTGACTTAGGCTTATGATATTTTGCATACCAGTTCCAGTATTGGACTTTATGTTGCATAATATCCTTGCATATGTTTGGCCTTCACCTCTAACCTCAAGGTCTTATATTTTGACTTTTTTGCAGGTCAGCTTGATTTAGCCAAAACTTTCTTATTTGTTTACACAGACCTCTGATATTTGGCATGTGGGGGTAAAAGTAGTCTTTATTGCTAGTAATGATTTTTTTTTCTTATTTTCCTTATGTAGTTACATCTGTCCCAAATATGATGACTTTCATTAATTCTGAAGTTAAAAAAAAAACAAAGGTTGAAAAATAAATTTGATAAGGTCTAATATATAATATTACATTATTTTTTAAAGGAGAAATTTGCAGAAGGAAGTAAGAATGCTAAATATGTAGAAGTGTTTCAATATTCTGGACTGGCTACACTAGATATCTTGTTACAATGTTCTCTGTCATACAAAGGAAATATACAAGACGTAGGGTAAGAAATTATAATAAAGAAATTAGTTTGAAAATTCATCTCAAATTTGAATCAGCAATAGGCATTCGTGTTTTATCAATTTTTGAATTAGAAAATAACAAATATATGATATACAGATACTAATGCTATACAGATACTAATGATATACAGATACTAATGCTATACAGATACTAATGCTATACAGAAATGAAATACAGATACTGATGAAATACAGATACTTATGATCTACAGATATTATTGATTGTGATGCATTTATATCTTACACATTGATGTTTCTGTAAATAACTTGGACTTGTTTAACTAAAGAAGGAAAGGTGAAGGGTAGGAGTATGTGAGACATTACATGAAATACTGCAAACTCAGGAATCAATCCAATCTTTTATGTTTGACAGGGTAAACATGGTAAAAAAAAATATTAACAATACTAATACTAATACTAATACTAATATTTCTCTGTAACAAAAGTTTTATAATTGATAATTGACAATTGTTGAATTAAAAGGGTAAAGGCTGGTATGAGAAATGAATATCATCAGAGGAAATGTGTTTTATTTCATGAGTAGTAATGTTTTCTTCATTTTGATTAAAAACTTATTTAGGCAAGTGAAAACATTTTGTATTTATGAAATTAAGTTAGAAGCCAGTTCTTCCATCATGAAAGTTGATTGCAGATATTCATTTATATGTGTTTAAAAAGCTGTTTTTCTCAGCATGACCATGACAGTGCTGGTCCTCACTAGACAGGGCTCCAGTGTATGCTTATGTGTGTAAGAAGTTCTAGCATCATTAAGCTACTGCAAACATAGTATTCTAGAATTGATGTTGGTAGCATTACACAGACAGTAATCCTATGAAGCATTTCATTGCTGTTCTTTATCTCATGAGATTTTCTTTAGTTCTTCATCTCATGAGTTTCTCTTTAGGTCTTTAAAAAAGAGGCTAATGATCCTACATTCTGCAGCAGTATCAAGATGATCTCTTGTGTATTAACTTATGTGCAAGTAACCAAAGAATGGTGGTGTTTATACATGTATTTAATACTGTGAAAGTACTTTAATTAAGTCTCCAAAACGAAGTTTGGGAAGACTTATTGTTTTTGCTCAGTTCTTATTATTATTCTTCTTCTTCTTCTTCTTCTTCTTCTTCTTCTTCTTCTTCTTCTTCTTCCGCCGCTTTTAAATTTGAACTTGTCCGCACCCGTTCTCCAAAACAGCTTGTCAGATTAACTTAGGGTTTCACAATATGTTAGACTAACATGTCTAGTGGTGCAATCAGGGTTTTGTTTGTGCAATGGGGTTTTGAAGGGGTACTTTGAGGGGCAAAAAGAAAAGATGGTTTTACTATAGAACCCTATGGAATTTTATTTTTTTAAATTTTCAAATGATTATAAATTGAAAACCGTTTGTGATAGACACAATCTTTTTAATTGAAAATGTTCTAAATGATAAAGCCCATTAAATGAATTACAGGGTTAGTCCCCAGGGGTCACCCCCACCCCCTGCCATTTGAGAAAGTTCTAATACCTTGTAAGTGGTCAAGATCCCCACCCCTAAACCATATATATTCTGGTTTGTCATGCTAAGATGGTTTGAATGATATACAGGGTTAGTCCCCAGGGGTCATCCCGACCCCCTGCCATTTGAGAAAGTTCTAATATCTTGTAAATGGTCGAGATCCCCACCCCTAAACCATATATATTCTGGTTTGTCATGATAAAGCACATCAAATGTAATACAGGGTTAGTCCCCAGGGGTCACCTCCACCCCCTGCCATTTAAGAAAGTTCTAATATCTTCTAAGTGGTCAAGATCCCCACCCCTAAACCATATATATTCTGGTTTGTCATGCTAAGATGGTTTGAATGATATACAGGGTTAGTCCCCAGGGGTCATCCCGACCCCCTGCCATTTGAGAAAGTTCTAATATCTTGTAAATGGTCGAGATCCCCACCCCTAAACCATATATATTCTGGTGTGTCATGATAAAGCACATCAAATGAAATACAGGGTTGGTCCCCAGGGGTCACCCCCACCCTCTGCCATTTAAGAAAGTTCTAATATCTTGTAAGTGGTCAAGATCCCCACCCCTAAACCATATATATTCTGGTTTTTCATGCTAAGATGGTTTGAATGATATACAGGGTTAGTCCCCAGGGGTCATCCCGACCCCCTGCCATTTGAGAAAGTTCTAATATCTTGTAAATGGTCGAGATCCCCACCCCTAAACCATATATATTCTGGTTTGTCATGATAAAGCACATCAAATGTTATACAGGGTTAGTCCCCAGGGGTCACCCCCACCCCCTGCCATTTAAGAAAGTTCTAATATCTTGTAAGTGGTCAAGATCCCCACCCCTAAACCATATATATTCTGGTTTGTCATGCGAAGATGGTTTGAATGATATACAGGGTTAGTCCCCAGGGGTCATCCCGACCCCCTGTCATTTGAGAAAGTTCTATCTTGTAAATGGTTGAGATCCCCACCCCTAAACCATATATATTCCTATTTGTCATGTCTCGAACATTTGAATGACGTATACTGTTAGTCCCCAGGGGTTCCCCCCACCCCCAATGTTCTAATATCTTGTAAATGGTTGAGATCCCCACCCCTAAACCATATATATTCCTGTTTGTCATGTAATGAACATTTGAATGACGTATAGGGCCAGTCCCCAGGGGTTCCTCCCCACCCCCAATGTTCTTGTATCTTGTAAATGGTCGAGATCCCCACCCCTAAACCATATATATTCTGGTTTGTCATGCCAAGATGATTTGAATGATATACAAGGTTAGTCCCCAGGCATCACTAATGCATATAACTTTACTGGACCAAACCAATTTTCACTGGACGTTGCCCAATGTCAGGCGACCCTGGGAATTACGAATTATGGGAGCTTCGTTTGGGAGACTTCGTAACAGCATCCTGTTACAATCATTTCTTGTTTAAATCAAGGTATCAATTTTCCTGGTTTTAACAAAAGTTACATGTTCGTGAGTTCTTAAATTCATGGATTTTAGTTTTCTGAAGAAAAAAATTGTTATTTAGATCTATGAAAATAATCATATGTTGTTCTATGATAATTTGTTGGACATTGCAAAATTGACAACATTCATCAATTTTTTGATAAAATAATTGCTTTGAATTCGTAAATAAGCTGATTCATCTATTCATCATGCTTACAAATTGTCTCGACTGAAGGAAATTGCAAAGTAAACATTTTAATTATTGCACATGTGTAATCAGAAGTGATGACACTAATTAACCCGAAATTTAATGATCATCAGATTAACGGTCATCAAAGGTGTTAATTGTGTCATAAACATGTCACTTAAAGCAAACGATAACATAAACAAATACTACAAATGTACTTTGAAATGTAGAATTAATTCTGAATGAAATAAAATATCAAGCCCAATATGTTTTTTTTTCGTATGAGAATTACGAGGAGATAAATTCAACACTTCATCATCGAATATCATCACTGGAAGTCTGACTTTCATTGATCGAAACTAACTTTTCCTGACAATTAAAAGGTTAAAAGTCGTAGATTTTAGGTTTTTAAAAGATTAAATGGATAAAATCCTGTCTGAAGCTGTATATATTGTTCATATTGCATTTGCTTATATTCGATGTACACTAGATATGCCGGTATCAATGTGGTAAAACCTACACCAATATACACGGGGTTCTTTCCATGTCTTGATTTGGACAACAGTTGTTAAATTTCGTTGGACACTTAAACTCATGGATAAAGCCATCCACGAAAACCACAAAAATTGGTACCCCACGAATAAAAGTACTTTCACAGTAGATAAAAGAAAGATTTGGTATGATTTCCAATGAGACAACTATCTAACAGAGACCAAATGCGTGGATGAAAGCAACTGCCGGTCACTGTACTATCTTTAACAAGGAGCAAACCCATACTGTACAACGACTCCAATTTTTTGTTACTTATTTGTCCTAGATAAATGTTGTGTATTTTGTTCTGATACTTGTAAAAAGAGGCATTTAATCTTTACAGTGAAAGCCATCCATATGTTAAAGCAGTTAAAAGAATGATTGAACTTACCTTACATAGATGTCTGTAAGTTATAAATAATATTTAAACCATTGTTTTTTGAAATAATTACGTTGAATCATTTAAAAAGAGAATTTTAATTAATCTAAAAAAGAAAAGAAAAAAGCCTGGGCTCATGCATACATGTACATTCATTTCATTGTGGTGTAATAAAATGGGCAGTATGTGATTTTTTTAAACAATCGCTGCTTTTTAGAACCCCTACATACAAAACATGACGAACTTTGATTATTATATTAAAATTAAAAGAAATTGAGGATCCAGATGAAAATTATGTCAACACCAGACAGACAAGTATATGTTCAGTCTTCATCAGTGTTTTTCAACAAATGAAGTGTGCTGAGTACCAATAAGAAGATGAAACTCATTTTTCCAATTAAGATTTACTGTATAAGTTAAAAGGTCACGACCATAATTTGCCACACTAGAAAAAAAATCATTCATATCTGTTGGGTGAGAAAGGAAAGTTTGCTTTGTGGTGCCCAAGAAGTTACAACTTTGAAATTTCTAAATGTAGATATTTCATTGCCCAATATTGGCAGCATTACTATATTTGTTCATACATGTACTGAAATTAATAATTAGCGTGGGTGCCTTATGGTTTCAATAAAATATTGATTCATGAAGTTTATTACCATACAAAACAAACTTAATTTGAATTATTTGGGCTTTGTATTTATATATGATTGATGATGCCTTTATTTTGTAGAAATATTAACCTGTATCCAGAATTTCTATTCAAACTGTCACCTAGTGGTAAAGAATTTTTCAAGCTCTGTGATTTTGTTCATGAGTTTTCAGAAGATATTATTTCAAAGAGAAAAGAAGATTTGGTATGATACATTATACATGTACATGTAGCAGTTGTTTAATTTTTCACTGAAAGAGTTTTTCTGACTTGAATTATACAATTTGATTACAGGCATATATAATTAGATGTTGATACTACTGTTTTGAAAACTGATAAAGATGCTACATTGAAACCTTTATTGCATGTTCCAGATTTATCACCCCCACCCACCCTGTAATATAGCCCTGTTTGGATTTATCATATTTAAATATATGATTAAGTGAACAATACTATATGCAGGATTGATATTAACCATCATGATTAAGCCCTCTGGCTGACATTGATATTTTAGGTACATGCAGAAAGTGATAAAAAATTTGCCATTCATAATTCCTTATTTTACACCACTAAAAGTTGTTATACATTGTAAATATTGGTTCTAGTAACCCAAGGTTACAGCTTATAAATTATCGACATACTTTTGTAGCTTACTTCAGTTGTGTCAATTTATTTTTCCTCCCTTTCAAGCTTGCATGCCTTACAGACATACAAATGATGCTTCGCAATATCTTTTTCAAAATATTTCATGGCAAATGTACTGTCAATCTCGTAAACACCTGCAGCTTATATTACACTCATCAAATAACTGTTTTCAAACATGCTGCTGGGACCTCAATGGTGGTCTAAGTAGTTCTTCTACAGCGATCACTAACCTGTCAATACTAAGGCTGTGAGCTTCTAAATCTGTCTTGGCAAAGTGTGCTCTGAATTTGCTAAAATTTCCAGTTTTCTTGCCAAAGGTCATGGTTCTCTCCAAGGACTCTGACTCCCTCAACCAATAACTAAAGACAGTCAACCATGATATAGCCTGGTGTGCTAAGGGTGCAGTTAAACAACAGTCAATCAATCAAACATGCTACAGATGAAATTTATATCATCTAAATTGGAGAATATTTACAGTATTTTTTAAACTTTATTGTTATGACAGCTGATTAGGTTAAATCAACATGTGCTGCATTTTAACATGCTATAAAACCTTTTTTCTTAAAAAAAAATGTGAAAACTAACGCACCACAAAAAGCAACAATAAACAACACAAATACTTGAAATGAAAATCACATGGCTAAAAAAGTTATTTTAATAAATATTCTTATTTTTCATTTTTTTTTCTCGCAATAGAACATAAATTAAGTGAACTAAACACTTTTATAGAAAGAAAATGCTGACACTGAGAAAAGAAGACAGTTGGATTTTCTGGACATTTTGTTAACAGCCAGAGATGAATCTGGTAAAGGGTTAACTGATGAAGAGATTAGAACTGAGGTGGATACTTTTATGTTTGCTGGTATAGTATTATGTTTATAATTGCAGGCCAGGTGTGATTCAATATTCAGCATTTAAAATGTTAAGCAATTTAGGAGTTTTCAATTATGCAGGTTCTAGGTGTACAACTGGTAATTATCAACATTTAAGAGCCCTGGACCTTCCACCCTCGAAAAAATTCTTAAGAACTTTTATTTTTCTTAATTTAAATTTTGATTTGTAATGTCCAAAAGTCCTCAACCATAGCCTCTGAAAATAATTTTGAACATTGTGTTTGCATCTTAATCTATTTATTAGATGTTATATTAAATTTTTATTAGTTCCTTTTTTTATGAGGTAGGTATTTTAAAATAAAAAAACAAAACAATATAAAATTCAGATTGGACTGCCTAGCTTCCCTTCATGGCAGAAATTAGTACATTTTGTACTAAGGTATTATTACATCAGGTTTATGCAAAATGCTTACAGTTTTAACTTGAAGAAGACAAAAAATTTATACATTATTTACCAATGTGTTGAAAATGCTTATATCTGTCATTCAATTTTGAATATTTCTGTCTATTTAAAAACATAATTTTTTACAATGAATATATTAAAATCATAAAATACTGATAAAATGATTTGTTTCTCCTTATGAAATAAAGGTCATGACACAACATCCAGTGTGTTGAGCTGGAGTATATACAGTTTAGGCAAGCACAAAGATATACAGGACAAAGTTTATGAAGAGGTCAAAAGGGTTGTTGGGGATAAACAGTATGTTGATTGGTAAGTAAGGAAATGAATATCTCCAGGCTTAATTTATTGAAGTTAATGCTTTATTTAATTACCTTTCTATATATATTGATCCTTAGGGGTTCGGGATGAAATTATGATAAAGTGTAGCATTTGAAGTTATACTTTTCTATAGTTATACAGCTAAAGAAACGTGGTATATATGCTACGTCTGCTAAAACACTGTTATAAGGTATTCTCAATGATGTGTCTTTTAAAAATCTCAAGGATATATCTTCAATATATTAGATTCTACATTACTGTAAATTCAGAAATTATCGCGTGCATTTATTATTGCGATTTTTGAAAAATTAACAAAAATGCGAGTTTAACTATTGCGAATTTTGGAAAAGCTACATGCAGATATATGTATTTGATGTCAGAATGCGAGTTTTTATTATTGCGATACTCAAGTAGCGTTATTCGCATTAATAAACACCTCGCAATAATTTCTGAATTTACAGTACTCTATAAACAGAGTATTAATACTGGATGCCATGACATGTTAAAAGACCTGGTTATAGAACTATTAAATAATAATAAAAAAAATGCTCATATGTGTTTCTGCTTTATACTTATGTTTCTTTTTTATTTTTCAAACATGTGTTTATTTTCAGTGAAGACATATCAAAAATGAAATATTTGAGTTGTTTCCTGAAAGAAGTAATGAGACATCACACACCAGTACCAGTCATCAGTAGGATGTTAGATGAACCATGTGTTATTGAGGGTGTAGAGATACCTAAAGGAAGTTTTATAGATATGGCTATCCATCATGCTCATCATCATCCTGATGTGTGGGAGGATCCATGGGTAATTATAAATATGAGATGCCCATAGGGGAGACATATTATTATATTTTATTTGACTAGGTCAATTTCTTCAGATTGAATTGAGGTCAAAACAGTTTTTTTTATGTCTCTCATAGCTAAGGACCATGAGAGATCGAGGAAAATTAGGACATATTATTTCATGTCAGATATAAATTTGACTTTTTTAATTGGTAAAAACATAATTTGTCATGTGTTATTCTTTATTTTACAGTATGTAATAATCTACATCAGGCATTTTCATGTTATTGCCCACATTTCATTTTAGAGTTATTTCCCTTCTTTTAAACACAACAATGATTCAGCAGATGCAACATTTGCTGTCTGTTATCAAAATATTTATCAGAAATTGCTGTGTGTCTCCAATATATTTGTCATCATAATTCTGCCACTTATTTTCTACTGTCAACATAAAAAGAATAAGATTCTGAGTTAATTTTAATGTACTTTAAAACAACAACAAATTATTCATATAAGGAAGCAAATAGTAGATTGCAATTTGCAACCTTATATAAAGCCTCACATATTATATAACCCCCTGGTAGGATGTAAAATAGTGGTCATATGAAGTAAGATGTCTGAAGTCATATTTTCTAACAATGTTAAATTACTTTCTAGTCATTCTATATGGGCTCAGCTATTAGACTGTAATAGATAAATACATTTGATGATAAAGGACTAAGTGGCAAACAAAATCTGTTCTGGTATGAGTAAAGACTTAAAAGAAAAATAGCCTACCATTGGTTACCAATATATTAATGTAGAGCAAATGTATAGTACACAAAGCAAATAACAAAAAAGCAATGAATAATTTAAATTTTAACTATTCAAAAATTGTAATTGAAGCAGCTGCTTTTATACCTTTTTTTGGCCATTGAATTTTGGCATAGAAAATGCATTATAAGGTTGGTCAAATCTCTTTTAAAAACAATGCCATCTGTTTATACTAAACACCAGTGGCTTTGCAATTTTTATTGTGACATTCCTAACTTTTAACTAGATTTTACACATCTCTTTTCTATAAATCAAAAATAACACACTTAATTCGAATAATATTTATTTTCATTTCTAGGAGTTTAAACCGGAGAGATTTGTTGGAGACAAGCATCATGATATGGATCCTTATAGTTTTACTCCATTTTCTGCTGGACCAAGGTAAATATGAATTATCTCCCCTATAATGCAGAGAGATTTGATGGAGACAAACATTAAGGGTGGATCCTTACAGTTTTTATTCCATTTTCAAAAGGACCAAAGTAAACAAACTATCTCCCTTATTATGCAGAGAGATTTAGGAGCTACACACATTTTGGGTTGATCCTTATAGTTTAACTTCATTTTCTGCTGGAGCAAGGTAAATATTTGAATTATCTCCCATATAATGCAGAAAGAGATTTAATGGAGACAAACATTATTGATGGATCCTTATAGTTTGTATTCCGTTTTCAGCAGGACCAAGGTCAACACATTATCCCCCTGTTAATCAAGAAGGTTATCATGGAAGACAAATGCTATGGAAATGACTTTTATAGTTATTATCCTTTTCAAGGTGAACTAATGTAAATATGAACTATTTCTATTTAGTCCATAGAGATGTTAGGTAATCACACATTATTACATTGGTGACTAAAAGTATTTATACACTATAGTCTGCTTTACAAGTGAACTGTTTATTATAATCTATCATATTACCGTAACAAACTAAACTATTAGTTGTCTCCCCTTTCATCTACAACAGTTTGAAGAAAACAAATTTCCCCAGTTTTATCAATTTCTTAACTGCTTAGGTAGATATTAGTTAATACCCTTATAAATCAGATCTTTTTTGTGCATAACTTAAAAAAACTTCATTTTTTTAGTGTGTTATTTACGGTAATAAGCCTTCAACCTCTGAAAATTTTTAGACTGCTCTTCCACAAAATATTCAATTAGAATTTTTTTTAGTGTTTTTGAACTTTCGGAAATTCCCCCTGACAACCAATCAGAACATAGTTTAAAGCTAACCACAGGCCTAAAAGTGCATTAAATGATGCTTAATAGGTAGTAGATAAACTTGCCTTTTAAAATACAGCTGTCATATAAGGATTGTAATGATGCTATGTGGATAAATTTATCGGTTTTCAAGAGCCAAATTGACAGCGCGTTATCCCTACAATGGCTCCCAATTTTTAGGTGGCATAATGGGGAGATAATTTTGACGATAAAACATCATAAGATGAAACTTTTGACTTTACTCAATTTTCCTATGTGAATATTAGAAATTTCCAATATAAATTAGTTAAGGGAACTCTACCAGCACAAAACATAGGAGGCGTTGGTTCAGCAGCTCTTTATTTAAATTAGTTATGTGTAAATAGGTCAACTATTATGAGGTAGATCCTTATAGTTTCAATTTTTGCAAGGCAATTGTTGACATCTTCTTACAGCATCAAATAGAGTTGTAGTTCTAATCTGCAGAATAAAGATACACTTTTGTATAAAACCGATTCCCAACAAATACACAATTAAGTATATCAGGTTATTTTAGCATCAGGTTTTGTTGACTGTTTGGTCCATAGAAAGTCTCAAACGGTAGGAAAATTTGCTCTGTGCTCATTATTGCTGTTTAAGGTCTTTTATACAATGCATTTTTAAAATGAATAGTGAAATATTCATGTAGGGTTAATTTCATGGTCAAATAATTATCACAAAAATTAGACACACACACCAGATATATACAGTTTTAGGTAAAAAAATAATGCATATATGATTTGATTGTGTGTTCATATGTTAGAGAAAATCTCAAAACAAACATTACAATAAACATGTGATGCCAATATAATGGCCTTCAGTGTAAAACAGAAAACAATTGTTATATGATAGTTGTAATAGTGAAAAATAGCTATTTATGATGTATTGTAATTCGAAGACATCACAGGAGCTTATTTTTATACGACCGCAAAAATTTTGCGGTCGTCTTTTGGTATCACGTCACCGTCGTCGTCGTCGTCATCCGAAGACACATTGGTTTCCAGACAATAACTTTTGTTTAAGTGTATGGATTTCTATGAAATTTATGACCACAAAAGGAAGGTTGGGATTGATTTTGGGGGTTATGGTCCTAACAGTTCAGGAATTAGGGGCCAAAATGGGGCCCAAATAAGCATTTTTCTAGTTTCCAGACAATAACTTGTGAAATGGTGTATGGATCTCTCTGAAATTATACCACAAGTTACCATATCACAAAGGGATGGTAAGAATTTGCTTTGGGGGGTTGTGGCTCAAACTGTTTAGGAATTAGGGGCAAAAAAGGGGGAAAACAAGGGTTTCCAGGTTAATGGACAATTACTTAAGTACAAAACATAATTTTAAAGCAGTGTAATGGAGGTAATTCAAACACATATTGTCAAATTACCTCCCTTACACTGCTTGTAAATTATTTATAAAGAAATGTATTGTCTTTAGGTGATTAGCTGTCAATTTATTTTTAGAAGTTACTATTTTAAAAATGTTTAATAAAGGCTTTTAATTTTAGGCATGATTATGATGTCATTTACTATTTTAAAAATTATTTAATTTTATTCATGATTATGTATGTGAAGGAATTTTATTTTTAGATATTACTATTTAATGTTGCTGATGAAAGTGTTTTAATTTTAGGCATGATTATGATGTCATTTTCTATTTTAATACTTTTATGATGTATTTAAATGGGTTTTTATGGTTGCAAAGTCCTAGCTGTCAATTTATTTTTAGAAGTTACTTTTAAATGCTGATGAAGGAATTTTATTTTTAGTTATAACTATTGAAAGTTGCTGATGAAGGTTTTTTAATTTTAGCCATGACTATGATGTCATTTTCTATTTTAATACTTTTATGATGTATTTAAATGGGCTTTTATGGTTAAAAAAAGCATTTTTCTAGTTTCCAGACAGTAACTTGTGATTAAGTGTATGGATCTCTCTAAAATTGTACTACAAGGTTCCATACTACAAAGGAAAGACTGCAATTGAGTTTGATGGTTAATGCTAAAAGGGGGATTCAAAAAGTTTGGGGGGAAGGGGGGTTTCCAATTTTTTTTTAAAAGGGTTCATATTTTTTTTTCCAAATTTTCCAAATTTCAAATTTTTGAAAAGTTTCAAGAAGAAATCTTCAATTGCACAGTATCGCGTATTGGATTTTTAAGATCTTTGACCACATTTATTTTGTGTCAGAAACCTATATTATGTTAAAAATTTGATCACAATCCAAATTCAGATAGTATCAAGCTTGAATATTGTGTCCAAATTTGCCCCAACTGTTCAGGGTTCGACCACTGCGGTCGTATCAGGCTGCGCTCAGCGAAGCATTTTATTTTATTAATGCAAATGCAAATAATGCCACTGGGCGGGTATTGCAGTTAAAAGATTTCTGATTCTGACCAATATCTGTTTGAAGCTTTTCTTGAAATCAAAACAGTTCATCTCAAATTTTAGTTGATCATGACAAAGATGCCAGAATAAATGCTCCCAATAGTTTCAGAAGTTACAGAATGACAATAATATAAACTGGATGTCATATTTGTTCTTTTACTTTTACTAGCAACACTAATGGGGCATTAGTGAGTATTTAGTACTAAATTATTTGGTCAAATACAAAGTTAATAATTTTTCTATTTTTTATTTCAGAAATTGTATTGGCCAGGCATTTGCACAAAATGAAGAAAAGGTCCTTATTGCTAGACTAGTCAATAGGTAATTTTTTTTTTATTTTCGAAAAAATTTGGCAAAAATCAGTAGAATTTGTTTATCTAGAACTTTCTGCATTCATAGATGAATATAGTTAAAAGTGTGCTTAATTGTTTGCATTTTGATAATTGTAACTATAACTGGATAATAATGATATTTTTATGTTTCATTATTCTGTCATTCTGCAACAAACAGTTATACAGATTTTTTTTCTAAATGCCTTCACATATTGAGCTGATTTTTAGCATGTGAGTCTACTATTATGAGTTACAGATCGAGTTTCCATTTGGTTTCGCTCTGCTGATTTTAGCCGAAACAACGGGCTTTGGACTTTGAAAATTTCATGAATATAACAGTTTTAAAGACTTTTTTTTTCTGAATACCTCCACATATTGAGCTTTTTTTTAGTATGTCAGTCTTCTATGATAAGTTACAGATTAAATTTACATTTGGTTCTGCTCCACTGATTATTGCAGAAATTACGTGCTTTGGACTTTGAAAATTTTGTGAAAATATCAGTTATACAAACTTTATTTTCTTAACGACTTCACATATTCAGCTTATTTTTAGTATGTGAGTCTACTATGATGAGTTACAGATTGAGTTTACGTTTGGTTCTGACGCTGATTTGTGCCGAAATTAGGGCTTTGGACTTCGAAAACTTCGTGAAAATAACAGTTATACAGACCTCATATTCTCAAATTTCCACTCCTAAAAAAAAACTTTTTTTGCAAGCAAGGCCATTTGTGTCTTTCCGACTTATCTTGTTATTAATACATTGCTATTATGTTGTTATACATGTATAAAAAATAAAACCACTAATTCATAACCCCATTGCTTTCTATCTTAAATTCTGCTATTTCAAGCATTGATGACTTCTTTGTCTTAAGTTCTAATAAAGTGGTGGTCATTTCATATCAAAACTATACCTTATCCTGACTTGTACAGAAAAATTCAACATACCTTTAACTGCATATTAGAGCGCACTGGTTCCTGAAGTTTGGAAGTACAAAAACAGGTACTTTTCATCTGAACAACAGGGCAAATATGCCCTCCTATTATAATTCATACATTTCTTTTATTATTCAAAAGAAACTTTCAACAAGGGTTCTATAGTGATTCCAAGTCCTTTAGCTTTCATTTGATACCAATATTACCCAAATATTTTACTTATTGATAAAGTTACAGCTATGCGTAGGAACTATTTTGTTTAAAATATGTACTACTTTCTTGTATATTCTTTCGGACCTGGACCGATTAGTGGTTCTATACCATAAGGATAAAGTGCTGTATGTCAAATATTGAAAATTATTTTCTTTTGTTATTGATGTATAAATTCATGCATACTTTTCTAAAAGCTTTGACATAACAATATAATATATTTACAGATTTGAGATTTCTGTAGATCCAGATCATGAAGTAGAACATTTTACTGAGGTAGTGATGAGAGCCAAAAATGGAATTATGGCCTGCTTTAAAGAAAGGACTTAACACCAATCAAATTCACATGTACTTCATATGAATGAAAGAGATTGTCGGAATCCAATATCCATAATACCTGCATTATATTGGAAATTAACTTGACAGTTGAATTATAGTGTGTAAACATGAAATCAATATTTAAATCTAGTATAAATTGGACAGTTTAATTACAGACTTGAAATCAATGTTTAAACTAAGTATAAACTGTAAAATGTTATATGAACTGATACAGTTGTACCTCATGATGATAAACAAGGTTGCATTGAGACCTTTGATACATTAAGGTATTTCTAGGTCCTTGTGAAACAATTGTTCAGATGAACTTGGTTATGCCCTTCATCTGAGTGACTGGGAATATAATATTACATGTCCTGCCTTCCTTCATTCTGTCATGTTTTTCCAAGATTTAGAAAATTCAAAAACTGGCCTTTATTCCTTTTACCTGTAGATACTGAGCTGCGAGCTAATTGTTGGCTTATATATATATATATATAAACAAGTCTAAATTGAAAACAACGTTCAAACCTATATATATATATATATAAACAAGTCTAAATTGAAAACAACGTTCAAACCTATATATATATAAACAAGTCTAAATTGAAAACAACGTTCAAACCTATATATATATAAACAAGTCTAAATTGAAAACAACGTTCAAACATATATATATATAAACAAGTCTAAATTGAAATCAACGTTCAAACCTATATATATATAAACAAGTCTAAATTGAAAACAACGTTCAAACCTATATATATATAAACAAGTCTAAATTGAAAACAACGTTCAAACCTATATATATATAAACAAGTCTAAATTGAAAACAACGTTCAAACCTATATATATATATATAAACAAGTCTAAATTGAAAACAACGTTCAAACCTATATATATATAAACAAGTCTAAATTGAAAACAACGTTCAAACCTATATATATAAACAAGTCTAAATTGAAAACAACGTTCAAACCTATATATATATATACAAGTCTAAATTGAAAACAACGTTCAAACCTATGATTGCGTTGGATAAAAACCGCAATTTTCATACGTGTGCATGCAAAACAAATTTCTTGTTAGAGGAGTCTTAATACAGCACAAACAATATTTTCCAAAAGACCAAAAAAGTGAAAAAGTATATTTTAACAAAACGCATTTGACTAACAGGTCGAACAACAAGTGTTCTTAAACCCTGCTGACTGCCATTGGCGATTGCCAAATAAATGGATCACCGATGTAATAAATGGATCTTAATTATAAATTTAATACTAATCAGAAAACAATAAACTTGCGGAAAAGACTGTATACCGCAAACAAAAGGTGCAAAGGTTTTTGTACACCATATCCGGATTTCGACAATTAAAGGGAAACTTCGCAAAAAAATGAAAAATTGATATTATGTCCATTCTGTATAAAAAAGCTCAAATTCATAAATATTAAAATTTTATTCTGCTAGATAAGAGATCACCATCGATTTTAAATTTAGAGTATCAATTCTCTGCTTGCGGCCATTTTGACGTCTTCTCGGTTTAGAAACCACGATATATCTATAAACCACAAAGGACCAAAACCAGCAGTAACCTAATGTAGTCGTAAATACGTGTCGATATCTTGTCAATCGTACGGTTGTTTTATCCGACTAACTAACTTGATACGGAAAATGTAATTATTTGTTAAATAACTATGGTCTGTCGGTTTTTAAACTGTTTATATGGGAATTAGTTAAAAAGTCAAAGTTCAAAGTCATAAATAAGTGTTCCGTGTAAAATTGTTTTCGAAAATCTTATTTGTTCATAATTCTTTTATGTAATAAACTTATTTAAATAAATTCGGACCTTCCCTTATCTGATCACCAGCATGGCTAAAGGTATTACTCCCAAAGGTATTGTGAGGTGACACGTCCAGGTATTCAAGCGATTTCCTGTCGGGCTTAAAAACTCTTATTACACAATTACATAAAGCAAGTTCATGCATCGTCTCACTTCTGAGAGTATTGATCAGTGTACATGGCCGATAACTTGTAACTTTCCATTTTGAAACTATCAGGTGTATAATATACATCTCTGTCTTGCGTGCCGATAGTGATATACTAGTCATTACCAGAGACATCTCTGTCATTACTAAACTCATACGCTTGTTTATAAATAACATTTCTGGTGTAAAGAATACTATTTATGAAAATCTAAATAATTCCAAAAAAACATTTGATAAAATAAAAATCTATTTACAAATTTTTTTCCAAGGGTAAATTGGGGAAAATGTAAGTATATACTCGTTGTCAATAATGATGGACATTTTGAAACATACAAGAAATATTGATTCAACAAAAATGTACGCACTTGTCGATCATTGGTTTATACGCCGGGATAGAAAGTTACGGAACTATAGATAGTCGCAATTTAAAATATATACATGTATATTGAATATAAGAAAGAAACATCCAGAACAATTTGATTTAAATACAGGTCGATATCTAACTTGCTTTGGTTCATCGAAGTTATGGACATAGTAAAATCACAGATTTATGTTTCAATTAGATTGTTCTCGACCAGTTGAAGAAATTCATCATCATCACTATTGTTGGGTATAATCATGGAAGTAATATTTAATATCACTTCCATTGTGTAATGTATAATAAAGTGAACATGGTTCTGAAAGTACCTTATGTCAATTTTCCTGTTCCGACATGCATGTAGTATATGCCACTGGACGTACACTAATGATCCCAAAAAGTCTATTTGAAGAAATAAAGAAACTTCACTTCGGATAGACTGATAGTAGTTGTACAAAAAATAAATTAACGAGTACCGTATTAACGTCAGACCAGCAAGAGGGTTGATTAATTTATTACGTTATATTGTGGGTGAATAAACCATTCCCAATATTGCACTTAGTATGCATAAAATATTATTATAAATAAGAGCATAGATATAATAGCCAGCTATTATATCTATGATAAGAGTAACATGAGAAAAAATATAAATACGAAAAGTCGCATATCTGGTAAAAAAAAGTCTCACCATCTATAGGATTTCACGTACAATTGTTATTCTTAATCGAAATAACGGACAGTCATTTACATGAATGACGGTAGGTTTTGATAAAAAGGGGTGCCGCATATTATTCATCATCAATCTATTTTTTTTCAAGTTTATACTTTCCTGTTATTCTTATCAATTAACGCAGAGACATGTCACTATGCACTGATCTCTAGTTAACGACAATCAACTATATAAATATCTGAATCTGATGTGAAATACCGTTCATCTCTTTCTTTCTTTTTTCTTCTTTTTTGGGGGGGATTTGGGCAGGGACATAAACATTGTTTGATGTACTGAGGGTTCCCAGGTTGTTGTTTTTTTTGGGGGGGGAGGGGGCGTGTTGGAGGTCAAGTCTAGCGAAAGTTACAAAATAAGAGCGTTTTATTTATGAATTTACAAGAAGAATTCTGTTCTTGGACGTACTTTTCTCTTTTTTTTTAGTTCAGTGATTTAAATTGAGAAAAAATCTAGTCAGAATTTAAATCGTTTCGGCAATCCCCATCTAAGACTCCTCTAAAATCATGAATGGCCATGCTTCACAATCATCAGAATTTTCTTTGCATTGGTACATTATGTATCGGTAGTGATTAACCATGACATTTCCGGGTATAACAGAGCTTCTTGTATATTACCTGTATGTGGTTAGGTGTCGTCCTATGAGGTCTTGCGTATACAGGTTCACATTTATAATGGTTTGTGATATAACAAGGTTTTATGACATTCACACTTCTGCATGTTCTGTATACCACATTCTTATCTTATTTTCAGACCGAAAGAGGAAATGAATAATTTCCAGGAAAAATATTGAGTATCAAAGTATCAAATTAATTTCGGGATTTTTTTCTTTCTTGGTATTAAACAACAGAAATTTAAAGAATAAACTGCTTTTCCGCTTTGAGATATTCTTGCCAGTTAAAACAGACATATAATTATATATGTATATATGTCTCTGGTATAGACATGGTTTATGAATGAATTATAAGTCTTGCAAAGGTACACGATATAAAGCGCATTGAAAATTGATTCCGCCGGTCTGTCTCCATTCAAAAAAAGGAAGGTTGACGTTAGATTGATTCTGTCATTTTTTTAAATCATCGTTGGTCAAATAGCTAAAGTATTTATACGTTGTGAGACTTAGAATATTTTAATAAGGACATTCCTGATTAGGTATCCTTTTTTTTTTTATGTTTTTCACACCTGAAAAGAATATTTGTTCGTAATTATTTGATTCCATTCCAAGAATTTCCTGTCAAATTTTTAAACATCTTTTTTTCAAATAGCTGAAGTATTTATACGTTGTGACAGAGACAGATTTAAAATATTTTGATGAGAACATTAATTCATGAATACTAGTATGTAAATAAAGATCGCTTTGGACGGACCAAATTATATAATTACAATGGGTAATTATCTATTTTAAATAATAAAGGTTACCGATTCTAATTTGAAATAGTACAATTTTTAGTTCATACACTCGTGTTTAGAAGGCCATTATTATTTATAAATCTATTAAATTAAATCAATTCAGTATTTCATGGTTACACAAACAGTGACAGCGGTCATAATTCATTTTAAACTGAGCTTACGCAAAATATAAAAATATACCACGACTATCCAGTTATTGTGCAACCTTATAACTCCCCCAAAATAATTATATTTCTTTTTTATATTTCTGATTCTAAAACTATCACTCCCGTTTATCATTCATACAAAATGTTGTTCACACCTGGAACGGTGAACCGTGACGGCTAAGATTCACTGAGTGAAGATCAAAAGATTAGAATTACAGAATGCTAATATTTTAATTACCTTGAGTTTAACCACGCATTCAACAGTCACTAAGTGTCACAGTACATTACACATTGTATTTACACAGTACTAGCTGGAAATGTTTGCTAGACTTAGTAAAGAGTCAGAATACAAACATGCATTTTTAATACAGTATCAATCATGTCAGTTATATATGTTTGTTCAAAATATTCGTCGGAAAATATATCATAAAAATGTTCTATTTTATGATTTACTTTTATTACTATAATCATATCAGAAATCCTTAAAACATAAATCCTACAATTTAATTTTATTGATCACTTTACTTTCTTATATTTTAGTTGGTTAATAGCTACACCAAAAGTCGTCGATGCGCTTTAAATCGCGTTATTAGATGGTTAACGAACAAGACTTAAATGAGATTAATTCCACTCCCGGCATGCAAAAAGACTTAAACTACGTCACAGAAGTCAGGAAGTTTGAATAAATAAAATTAATAATTCCCAATTTTCTTCTTTATTAGTTTTCATATCTAAATAAAACTTGGTGAATATGTTTTTTATGGTATTATGAACATAATAAGATGATAAGTAAAAAATCGCGAATTTTCCCTTTAATGTCTCTATTATATATATATAGACAATTTTCTTCATCAAACAAACTAGAATAATCCTTACAAATTATCAAACACAATCTTTCTGTATGACAATGATTTAAGTTCCCACTATAAATATTTGAGTTCACTTTCAAATTGAAAATGACTGTGCTATACTGCATCCTGCACAGTCGATATTTACTGCCTCTTACACAGCCCAACTTTACTACCTCCTAAACTGCCAAACAGAAATCCATCAGTAAGCATGGTAAGAGTTGAAGCAAGGGTTCTTGTGCAGCCTGGCATACTCCTATGCACATTTATCAATTAAAGTCACCGATGCATATTCATACATCTAACACAGCCGAATGAGGCCTCCATTAGCAAGATTGGGTATTACTAAGTCGTTTATTCAAATTAGATGTACTTATTGTATATCCTAAAGAATTACCTAATTTTGTACTATGTTTATACATTTGTTTGTTTAATACAATCACATGTTGTTTTGTTTGTTCAAATCTTAAAAAATTAACCATATTCAGCACAATGTTTCCTTGACAAAAATTAAGCACAAATTAAGGTGGTACATAACACTACAGGGAGATAACTCTGTAAAAAACACCTGAACGCTTTAATCACGTTCTATTGTTAAGGAAATACTAAGCTTCTCAATGATCAAAATTAGTGTTTGTCAAACTGCTATATATCCAATGAAATTTTTCCGATAAAGTGCGTGGTTCAAGTTTTTAGAATTTTTTATATTTTTGTCAAAGGGTCAAAGTAAATATTTTGTCAAAATTTTATGAAAACTAAACGAGCCAAATCAATTTTAGTCAAGGTGTTTGGTACCACCTTAAGAAAACAAAGTAAGAACATGGCTTTAAAACTATGAATAATTAGAAATTTTAGATAACTATGGTTGAACTATGAAGTTGTTAAATGCAGAAGTTTCTCAGGACCTGTTTTGTTCAGCAATTACCTCCTTAATCTATATGTATCTATTTTTGTAAACATAAGCATATCTTTTATTTTTGCCATGTGCTGATACGATTTTTTTCATCATTATGGAGGAAGATGGACTGGAAAATAAATCAAGTTTTCAACATAAAAATGCTGATAGAACTATTTAAGGTTTATGGTTTAAGTAAAAACATTAACTCCTGTTCGAAGATGACCCAAACCCTGAATAATTCAAACAGTTTTGTATGGTCTTTTGGACCTTGTTATCAGAGTATTCACTGTTATCACTATGAGCCTCTGGTTGCAACTCCCTCAGACAAAGTTGACTGTAGACAGTTTTAGCTGTTCTGTTTTAACTCTTTTGTTTTTATGGTGTCAAATGTTTTATATATAATTTGGATTTTCAAACTTTTAGTCTATATCATACATTGTGAAGGTTGTTTTGATAACACATTTTGTGGAAATTTTTTCATACTTTTTTGCTTTTTGTAAAATCAAGCATACTCTAACTGTTTTATATTTATAGGTTTTTTGTTATTGATAAGAGGTTGTTAACCATGTTAACAATAACATACAGATTGCATTGCAAATTTGTTTTATAAAGTTGTCTGGACTTTCTCTTCTAAATTGTCACCCAAAGCCTTAAATAACTCACTACATGGTATGATTTTTTTGCTCATTGTTGAAGACTGTATAGTGACCTACAGTTGTTTACATTCTTGTCCTTAGATAGTTGTATCTTTTGCAATCATACTACATTTCTTAGTTTTTATATATACTTAAGTACGTAATGCTTATACTAACTGCTTGTTTGCACTATTAAAGGTGATGACTTGACTCTCCTACAGCAGATTGATAACATTTTTGAAAAGTTGTACAGTTTGATTTTTTAAAACAAATGGAATTTGTGACTGAATTTTTAATGAATTGCAATAGGTGGAATGCAACACTTACAGTCAAGTCACAGTAAAACAAAATGTGTGATGGTTTTTACTTTGTAAATAAGTAGTATTTTTGTCTTGTCTCATAAAGATACTATAAGCAGTAGATCAACTATATTTGGTGTATGAAATGACTGTAAGGTGAACATGTCCAACTGACAGGTTTGATCTGATTGTGAATTATTTCATGGTTCATTGGTCAATATTATGTTTTAAAGTTTAAGTATGTTACTCATATACTATAAGCAAAAGGTTAACTTATTTGGTGTATGAAATGATTGCAAGGTGTATAGTACAAGTCTGTCTCGCAGAGTTCACCTAACCATGACCTTATTTTCATAGTTCAATGGTCAGTATTAAATTTAAAGTTAGGTTTGTTTCGCAGGTACTATAGGCAATAGGTCAACTATATTTGGTGTATGGAAGAATAGTATGGTGTACAATAGTATGGTGAACATGTCTGTATGACATGTTTGTCTGACCTTAACCTCATTTTCAAGATTCAAAAATTAGAGTTATGTTTTCATTGTTGTCTGTTTTGTCAGAAACTTTAAGCTAAAAGGTTACCTATATTTGGTGTATGGAATGATTGCAAGATGTACACTGTCTGGCAGAGTAAATCTGACCTCATTAAAATGGTAAATTTGAATGTTAATTTTATGTAATACTTGTTGTAAAGCCTTTTTCTCTAAGACTTTCAACATGAATTCAATCATGATCAGTAAAGCAGGAGACATTTCAGTGTGTGCACTTTTGAGTTTAAAACTGCTTGTCTTTTTACATAAGTATTTTTCTTACTCATACTACTACAATCAAATACCCTTTTTTTTAAGTCTGTTGTTATTGACGCAGACAATGATTGTCAAGTTTATGTTTTTTTTTCATTGTTTTTAGGTTAATGTTTGTTTATTTGTTATAAGGGTGGTCACTTTGTTTTATTGCATATTACCTTTTATTTGCATTATATACCAATGCAATCTGATTATGTGTTGATTTTAAGGTGTAATTATTATTTATATTACATATTGTGTTGTGTTTTACTTACATGTATTTTGTACTTATATTTTATAATATATGCCATCATAAATCACATTTTATTAAACTTGTTCAGAATGGTTGAATGCTGCTTATTAAACATCCAATTGCATTTCCTTACAAATTCAGGATGGCAACATGTTAATGTTATGAATACATCCTGCTACATACATAACATATAAGAACTAATATGTAGATGTTTAACATGCTAAATATGCAGATATACATTTGTACAGTTGATCTCAAATTATTTTCCAGTGTATATTGGTATTTGCTGCTACTTCGATAAACACACAGCATTTTCCAGTAGGAGCCAGAGTGAGTAAGAGTGGTGGGCTTTGAGTCAGAAAATGAGTCAGAGTAGGATGTTACCTTGTGAACAAGCAAGTTCAAAATCTGGCTCAAACCAGGGTTCTTATTCATATCATTTTAGCACGTTCTCATCCGGATATGCATCTAATATATGCCACTGGATGTTAAACATCAATTAATCCATCCATTCAATTTTCAAAGCTAAATTTCACAATCTGTGTAAAATTTCAAACATCTTATTAAAATAATCTTTAACCTCAATTTGTGAGGCTGTTTTTTGTTTGTGAATACAAGAGCGTTACTTTGCAAGCACAGGTTTCATAGAAACAGAAAAAAATAATTTGAAATTATAGAATGTAGTTGAAGTGAAAGCTTTTATATGGATTATAGAAGACAATATTTTTTTTTTTTGAATCATAATTTGAACCTATTGAACTGTAAGTGATGTATTCAACTCATTAAATGATTCTTCATATTTATCATGATTGAAATCCTTGTCTACTAATATAGTCTTACTCTAAGTGAAACATTGTAATATATGTGACCAGAACATCAGCAAGTACCATCATGTTTACATTAAATGATTAGGGGGCAAAAGGGAATCTGGACAAAATAGCAGTGGCATGTACAGAATTTTGGGGAAAGACCCGAATTCTTACAGTCTCATGGCAATGCAATGGTTTGGGAGTATTGGGATGTTTAATATACAGTATATTAAGGAATTTTTGCATGCAATTTTTATTGTGATATGGAACAAAAATGCAAAATAAACTAGGAAAATATGCTATAAAGATTTAAAATGACATTTTTATGTGCCTGCCTAAGACAGGGCGTATTATGGTATACCATTATCCATCTGCCCGTCCGTTCGTTCGTCATTCTGTTCGTCTGTCCATCTGTCGTCAACACTTTGGACAATAACTCAAAAGCGCTTTCACCAATTTTTATGAAACTTTGGTGATTTGTTTATATCTAATGACGTAAGCTCCCTTTCGATTTTTACAAATTTTAGATTTAACTTTTCCCAGTTAGGAAATTTTATTTATATGAAATGGGGGGATTTTCCAGTTTTCAGACAATAACTCAAAAAACCTTTGAGCAGTTTCATGAAACTATTATGACTTGTATATATCTATTGAAATAAGCACCCTTTTGTTTTTTATAATTTCTGATATGACATTGCGAAGTTATGGAACTTTATTCGTTGAAAGATCATCAAAACTAAAAGGGTGACAGAAGTATCATGCTCTCATGGCGCAGCTCTTTATTTATTTATGCATAACCTTTTTTGTACAATAATAAAAATATTGCACAAATTTCTGAACTTAACAGTATTTGATTATAGCAGATAGAATACAGCTTATCCCTAAGAATGATGTCTACAATATCAAAATAGTTATCTACTTATTTTTTGGGATATTTCATACAGAATATTGGATATTTATTTGTATCTGGGTCATTTTAAGAAATGTTGAATTTTTAGTACACCTTTACTGAAATTTTTATTTTTAATGGTAAATGCAGTTGTAAGTGTTCAAATGAAAGGTTGTATGATGTATGAGTGGGAACATCAATAATAAACACAATTTATATCTAATTTAATAGGATTAAAATATATCTAAATCCGATTTTTGCGTAATTTATGTGCGTACAGTGTCAGGGTAAAACATTTCAAATGATTTCTGATTGTCTTGATATCTGCAAAAAGAACTATTTTATAATGTTAATGATAACTCTAACGAAAAAGCATCTTTTATTATTCTATGTAACTTTTTTCTACAAACTAAATTTATTTGGTGAGCATGAAATGCATGTCAGGCTATCCTGTTACCGATACTAGATCAACCGTTATATTGTTTCTCCCTATGAATATGGAACAATTCAGTGATGATTTTAAAGGCACAAAGCATCCTAAAAATTTAACACAGCACGTTTAATGAGAAAAGAAAATTCAAGACATTTATTGAAAAAAAATACTGGGTACCCTTTTATCATGTCTATGCTGTTACCAACAAATTTATTAATTACAATATTATACTTGTATAGAGTGCAATTACGTTTTGGAAACCTAAATCACAACAGAAAAACATTATCACTGCATCAAAGGGAGACAATAGCATTCATAAATGAAGAAATTTGTCTATCCTGTTATGTCTATCTTGTTACTATGTTACAGGAACATGATAGACAAAATTTTACTGAAACGTCTTTAAAAAGTTTATAATTACATATAACTTCACACATGATGAAATTTTTGGTTGATTGAACTCATTTAAAGGTTTAAACGTCTTAATCTTCGCAAAAATTGCTTATATAAAATGCAATACTGCTATCGATAACAGGATTGACAAAGGATAGCAGGATAGAACTTAATATGATGATATATCGTTACCGTTCATTCCTCTTACCAACAAACTAAACAACAAAAGTAAACCAACATGCGAAGGAATTACTTGATGTTGGGTTTATTAGAAAAAGAAAAAAAATGCAGAACATTATGAATTGCTATCTTAGACTCATGTTGCTGGTGGTTATTTTTTATAACCTTTGAAAACCAATTTTTAGATTTATTTTTAAGTACAACATGGAAAATTGACAAATACTTTATCATTAAACAGAATGAAAATATATAGAAGTTTTGACTCTTGAAAACCGTCTTATTGGCCATGAAAAACAAGCTTAAAATTTGATCGAAACCTTTTTAATAACCCAAAACTTCTTTTTAACAAGGTAACAGGAGAGGCAAAATAGTGCATCACCTATCAAAAATAGTTTCAATATATTCTTGTATGACATTTAAAAAAAACTAAGATAGCTTATGTCTGTCAGAGTAGATATGCTAATGCTATAACAACCTGTACAATCTAAATATATTTCTTTCAGTTCGAGCAACATGTTTTTTTTTTGGCAAGTTCCTTCCTTCAGTTTTTAGTAAGAACATTGTTTTTTAGGCAGTTAAGCTGCCTTATGCGAGCACCCTAGATTTGTGTTCTACCCAATAAATGCTGAAATACGTGCCATTGTTATTATCTAGCTGGCTATTATGTTATTTATAACTAATTGGACATTTTTTTAATACTTTTACTTCTGGAATACAAAAAATATGACCAGAAAAACCTTAAATGATCGTCGAACTACCCAAAACTTTTGAAGTTGCACATAGGAAGTAGTGCTCAATAGAAATCCGTACGTAGTTTATTATCCCCTGTGCTTTTGGCTACGATGTCAAAGAACAATTGTACGAAATATTTCATCGCCGAAAATCGGTAATTACAAGTCGTTTATATTTCCCAAATGGCAAAATGCGCAGGAATATTGTTCATGTACAACAAATCTCTATGATAGAGGAAATAAAGTTATATAAGTGGGCGGTAATTTTTAACTTATCTTGCCAAATAAGGTGGTTGTTATTTTATGAATGAAACGAGGTCATGAAACAGATGCGGAAATCGACGTTGATCGGATGTTTTAAGTAATGTGGACAACTCGTCCCCGAGACAAGTTGGACCGAATCCACTCAAACCGTCTAAGAAGACAACTTTGACCTTTTGTCAGATTTACTTAGGGTTTCATAAAATATTAGACTAACATGTCTAGCGGAGCCTTTAATCTTTTGTTTGTGCATTGGGGTCTATTTAGGGGTATTTGGAGGGGCCTGAAGAAGGGGGGGGGGTTTACTATAGAACCCTATGGGATTTTATTTTTTTAAATTTTCAAATGACTATTTCTCGAAAACTTTAAGTGATAAACACATGCAGTCTTCAGTAATGAGAACAGGACAATAAAAAAAATCAACCAAAAAATAGAGTGAGTCCCTGGGGGTCATCCCAACCCCCTTCAATTTGAAAATGTACTTTTATCTTGTAAACCGTCGCGATCCCCACCCCTAAACAATATATATACTTGTATTGGACAATAAAAGAAATCAAATGAAAATGATTTGGGGGAATCCCCGGTGTCGTCCCACCCCCTCCTGTTTGAGAACTTGGAAATGGTCGAGATCCCCACATTTAAACCATATATATTTATGTATGGGACAATAAAACAAATCAAATGAAATATAGGGGGAGTCCATTGGGACGCCCCACCCCCTCTTGTTTGAGAACTTGTAAACGGTCGAGATCCCCACCTCTAAACCATACATATTCATGTATGGGACAATATAACAAATCAAATGAAATATATGGGGAGTCCCTGGGGTCACCCTAACCCCTCCTGTTTGAGAACTTGGAAATGGTTGAGATCCCCACCCCTAAACCATATACATTCATGTATGGGACAATAAAACAAATCAAATGAAATATAGGGGGAGTCCCTGGGGACACCCCACCCCCTCCTGTTTGAGAACTTGTAAACAGTCAAAATCCCCACCCCTAAACCATATATATTCATGTATGAGACAATATAACAAATCAAATGAAATATATGGGGAGTTCCTTCGGTCGTCCCAACCCCTCCTGTTTGAGAACTTGGAAATGGTCGAGATCCCCACATTTAAACCATATATATTTATGTATGGGACAATAAAACAAATCAAATGAAATATAGGGGGAGTCCATTGGGACACCCCACCCCTCTTGTTTGAGAACTTGTAAACAGTCAAGATCCCCACCCCTAAACCATATATATTCATGTATGGGACAATATAACAAATCAAATGAAATATTTGGGGAGTCCCTTGGGTCACCCACCCCCCTACTGTTTGTGAACTTGTAAACGGTCGAGATACCCACACCTAAACCATATTTATTTCTGTTCATCATTACAAAAAGATTTGAATGACATACAGGGTCAATCTCCTAGGTGTCACATATGCATATCACTTTACTAGACCAAACCAATATGAACTGGACTTTGCCCAATGTCAGGAGACCATGGGAATGACGAATTATGGGGTCTTTGTTTGGGAGAATTATTTCTTGTTTATTATAAAATTTTATTGATGCAAAAAATGAGTCTAGGTTAATTGAATTTACTTTAATTATTTATTAAATTATTTCTGGGCCTATAATCATTTTCATTTATGTCTCATTTTAAAGAAAACATATAAATCTTTCAAGCAGTGTAAAGCCCAAGAATGTTTGACCAACTGTTTTATAATCAACTTTCATTTTATTCCAAACTTGGTATTGAGTAACATCATGCACTTGGGGGTGAAGATGGGGGTCATTTACATTGATATATGAGTTGCTTTTGAAAACCTTGATGAACTATTAATTAATTTGCCTTAATAATCAATTCATTTAATGAACATAAATGTACAATATACGAATGTTTAATGTTTGTTCTTTCAAATCTTAAAAAAAAATTGAAGCAACGCTGCCACAGTTTTCATAATTACGTTTGCCTTGGTTTTTTGGTTAACTGCCTACAGCGCTTACAGTGCTTTGATTTCTGTATTCAATTGTCTCATACCTTTTTCCTATTGGTGAGCATGACAGCCAAAATTTTTATACATGTATACTCCTAGGCTTTTATTTCTGCTGATAACACTCAAAATATTGATGTGAACCTCTAATATTTTTTTTAACATTGGAAATATCCATAAGTAAAGACCAGTCTCGCAAAAATGAGTCTAGGTTAATTGAATTTACTTTAATTATTTATTAAATTATTTCTGGGCCTATAATCATTTTCATTCATGTCTCATTTTAAAGAAAACATATAAATCTTTCAAGCAGTGTAAAGCCCAAGAATGTTTGACCAACTGTTTTATAATCACCTTTCATTTTATTCCAAACTTGGTATTGAGTAACATCATGCACTTGGGGGTGAAGATGGGGGTCATTTACATTGATATATGAGTTGCTTTTGAAAACCTTGATGAACTATTAATTAATTTGCCTTAATAATCAATTCATTTAATGAACATAAATGTACAATATACGAATGTTTAATGTTTGTTCTTTCAAATCTTAAAAAAAAATTGAAGCAACGCTGCCACAGTTTTCATAATTACGTTTGCCTTGGTTTTTTGGTTAACTGCCTACAGCGCTTACAGTGCTTTGATTTCTGTATTCAATTGTCTCATACCTTTTTCCTATTGGTGAGCATGACAGCCAAAATTTTTATACATGTATACCTATAGGCTTTTATTTCTGCTGATAACACTCAAAATATTGATGTGAACCTCTAATATTTTTTTTAACATTGGAAATATCCATAAGTAAAGACCAGTCTCCTGACATGGACATTTTATCTCCTATATGGTTAAGGGGTGGGGATCTCAACCATTTACAAGATATTTGAACATTTTCAAATGATAGGGTTTGAGATGATTACTGGGAACTAATCATATATATCATTAAAATCATTTTGACATGAAAAATAGGATTATATATGGTTTAGGGGTGGGGTTCTTGACTGTTTACAAGATATTGGAACATTCTTAAACGACAGGGGGTGGGGTACAATCGGGGACTAACCTTGTATTTCATTTGATTTGTTTTATCATGTAGAACATTTTTAATTCTGCAGATTCTCCAATTTTAGTAGGCCATATGGCCCCATGCACATTACTGAAGACCACATGTGTCTATCACTACCTGTTCTCAAGTTATTTAAATCATTTGAAAATAAAATTTTAAAAAATCGCATAGGGTTCAATTGTAAACCCCTTCCCTCTATAGGCCCCTCTAAGTACCCCTTAATAGACCCCCAATGCACAAACAAACCCCATTTAGCAAGAAGAAAAAGAACTGAGTAAAAACAACGAGTCTCCTAAACTTTGGTTTTGGGACTTTAAAAATATAAGTTCTAAAACAAATTTCCTGCAAAATGAAGAAAATATTCCCCAGTTTTGAGGTTTGAAAAATATCAACCAATGTCGTTGTCAAGCATTTGATCATTATGGTTACTGTGACATGGATTTTGTTGACTCGCAGAAAGAAACATATCAATGAGAAGTTACAATGAACAGAAATCACTTTCAGATGTCCCTCCTACTGCAAGGACGTTTATTTTAGAGAGTATATTCCTTTAGAATCAATGATGGTTCATTGTGAGAGGGAGCAAAGAGGTTATGCATCATTGCATCCAGTCTTGGTAAGAAATCTTCAGCCCATTCAGTACAAGAGAAACATTAGAAAGTATAGAATCTAATGATCACAGATAACATCACTTGTAGAAATAATTTTTATTGGTAAATCTCTAAACAATAATTCAAATTGAATGTGACCTGCATTTGTTTAGCATAACATCTTGTGAAAATCGAAAAAGATATTGTCAAACAGCACATTCATTATCACCTGAAAACCACAAAATTATTTTTTGTAGTAACTAACAGGTATAATTAATAGGGTATAACTCAGTCAAAATCATTAAAATCGAAATAGACCTGTATTTTGTTTTCCATAACATTACATTCAAATTTCAAGATTCGGTCAATCGGTATTATCAGTATCATCTAGCAATATAAAAAAATATTTTGAGGTAGCTAAGGGCATAAGACTTGAACAGTAAATGTCAAAACCATCCAAAATCGAACCAATGGGGTGTCGGAACAACGGGCCGACCCTGTGCACCACTATATGTCCCCTCAAGGAAGTGGTATTATAAACAAAATAAAACAGTTGTTTTTATAAAATAACAGCACAGAACCAGACGACGAAAAAAAAAAGAAAGAAATGTGTACTGGTCGAAAAAAAACCCACTAACATACAGTCGAAAATATGTTTAGTCCTTTGAAAATAAACCGTCGGAACAGGAAGAAAAAATACTTAGGAGTGCTTAAAATTTCAAACTGTACAGCTATAAGTGGAGTGAGTGATTTGGCGTGTATGAAATTTCATGACATTGCAACATTAAGTCTGAAGTATCTCGTTATACAGTACTTCATCTACTATATTACCACAAAAACTTGCTCACATATATAAAGTAAGTACACGAATAACAGAGCGAGTATTCCAAAATGGCGCCTAGCGTAACTTTATTTTTGGTATTGACAGTCGTTTGTTTATTGCAATCCGTTTCCCTCCAGAATGACATGACTGTTACAGAATTTGCAGAACTCAAAGAAGTCCGCCATCTTTCACAAAGCCTGCAGATGCTGAATACAACAATGCTGAAAGGTGAGAAACTTTTGCTTATATGTTGACAAAATTAAAAGAAGAAATTTATAGAAGAAAATACAGATAAATTCACCCCTATTGTTATGTGTAATTTGGAAGTTTCACATCCCCTTATATTCCTATTATAATCCTTAATATCTTGTCACTTTGATAACGCAAATTTTTGAATGCATCTTGTATGGAATTTTATTAGCTTTTTATTTCAATTTGTTTTCATATATATTTAACACTTATATTTTCAAGTACTAACTTTAGATAATTGCAACCTACCATCACAGAATATATTACACAAATTACCAGATGATTTATCGATCTTCACACGGAAAACCATACTCCACTTAATGGTATTTTTCTGTTATTAGAACACACAAAGAAACTCGCAGACAATACAAACAGATCTTTTTTTTTCTGTGTAATACAAATATAAATATTGAAAAAAAAAATTCCGAATATTTAACAAACAAAAAAATTCCAGTGGTCCCCGTTATGTGTACGAAAAAAGGTTCATAATACAAGTGTTAGTTTTTGATTTTTTTATATGTTTTTTTAGAGAAAAAGGAACCAGTCATGTTTTATGCTGTAATTAGAGAAAAGACATTTACTTATAACATTGACACAATACTTGTGTTCGAAACCGTGATAGTGAATGAAGGAGGGCTTTATAATAAATACGATGACGTGTTCGTGGCACCTCGGAAAGGGACGTACATGTTTTCATGGACTGTTTCGGGAACTGGTACCACCTACACAGTAACAGAGTTAGTAGTAGAAAACCAAGTCATTTCTTCTGCTGGAGAGTATCATGGAGGAGCTGGACATTCATCTGGATCAATGACGGCACTTTGTGATATGAGCAAGGGGGATCATGCTTGGATTCGTTCGACTGGAGCATCAACCGCACATAATTTATATAGCCATGATAACTATCCTCAGTCATCATTTCTTGGTTTTCTTTTACTGACTGAATAAAATCAGTCATTAATTGAAGAAAAAAGCTTCCAAATATAGAAAACAAATTAAATTGTTGTGAATGCAATATTAACATTGATTTGGGACTTTTTATACTGAAATCATACCATCAAAAATGCATGCAGTATTGTTCTTAGTGACTGGTTTTAGGTGAAGAAAATATACAATAAAATTGACATTACTCAATACTATTATACTAGTATTGTTGTTCTTTATTTTCTGAGTGTTATTTACTAAAGATTTGTCTACACTATATGTAGATGAGGCTACTTTGGCTAATGGCAACGGTCCCAATTTACTGATTTTCCAGAAGTCCGGTAAGACACAAGAAGCTTGTGCAAAATCCTTCATTCTGGTATTTTTCAGCAGCAGTTCAGTTCAATCAAAATATCGAATTGTATAGCGTTTAATTGTTTTTAACGGGGGTTTGATCGTACCCCGGACTCCATGTCAACGGGTGCGTTTTTGCTCACCTGACTTTTCTTTAAATTGTTAAACATATTATTTAAAGAATAACACAATAAAAACTAAAACAACAAAACCAACAAAAAAAACCCCAGAAATAATACTAAATAGATAAATAAATAAACGAAAATCATATATACAAGAAATGGGTAAAACAATCATTTTTATAGATGTAGGAATAGTAGAAAATAATCAGTATAACATAAAAGCAATCAGACGAAAATACACCGAAAATGTAACAGAGAGGAACTTCATACTGTGTGTTTCATTCGAAGTTAAACTTTTGTAGTTTGATTATAGAATGCTGTTTTTGAAAATTGATACGAAATGAAACCAATTTCGGGCTTCTTGCTGAAAATTTGATGGTCACTTGCTTTCTTTTCGTATAAATTTTCAGAAATACAACATGAAAACAATTTCGGACTTCTTGCTAAATATGTGTTGACATTTGCTATTATTTCGTATAAATTTTCAAAAATACATACTTCAATTCATGTATTACAAATTTTGAAACAAAAACATATGTAATTCACATTTTAAATCTGAAAGTAAAACTTTAGACATAAAACTTCGACCGAAATTGTATAGTGAGATGAAAGCAGTATATTTCCACGTGACGAGGGAGTTTTTTAACGACCTTGACTACCCATGAAGGTCTTGCACGTGAAATAAATTATAACTCCTCAAAAGGCTGATATTGGTATTTGAAGATGTTGATTTCAAAGTACTTATACATAACTCGTAACACATTTACTAAATACTAAATTTCAATCATCATTGTACATATGATATAACTTTATTGTTATATATTAAAAGAGAGGCGAAAGATACCAAAGGGACATTGAAACACAGTCGAAAATAAACTGACAACGCCATGGCAAAATCAGAAAAAAGACCAAAGGACAAACAACAGTATACAAAACACAACATTGAAAACTAAAGACTGAGCAACACGAACCCCACCAAAAACCGTTGGTGATCTCAGGTGTTTCGGGAAGATAAGCAGATTCTGCTCCAAATATGGCAACCTTCATGTTGCTAGAACAAACCCGGTAATAAGTCTAATTCGGTAGGTCATAATCGGGGAAAGGAAGGGCGGGATATGGTTACGACGATTGGAACATATCCGTCGTCATGTCATCTGTGAAACAGATATTCCGTAACGGTCAACCAACTCGTAATTGCGTCCGTAAAAGATGACTAAATTCACCACTTGGAACTCTAGGTTTAATAGCTTCAATGTGAGCAGCAACCCTCTATCAAGGATATCATACATGATAGGAAACACAAGCCCTGGAATATCGTATTAACTGGGAAATATATACTCCATATGCAGGCGCTGCTGAAATGTTGCTACATTGAAATTGAAAGTTCACAATTGGGAAACTGAAATCATCTGTTTTGGCGTAAAGTTTTGTTCTCATGGTTATGCCGATTGTTTGTTGAAAAATCCGTAACAAATATTTTGTCAATCAAGAAATCAATCATCTTGATAATGTCATTTTCAGAGAATCTTTTGTTTAAATCAGAGTGATTTATCTCTCCCTAAGACAAGTTACTTGTATCTACGTTGACCATACGTTTTTATTAAACAAAGCAGGACCAATTCTGTCAATTTGACCTTTAGTTTGGAATGTGGAATACTTGTGTTAAGTGTAGAAAAGTCAAATATTTTAATACTATTGCAAGAGGAAAGATTCTCAAATTTTATGTATTCTAACAGATCTTTGGATTTTTTTAGTATCCACGTCTAATTCACGTCGCCTTTAGAATAGGTAGTTTCACAATAACTTTGAAGCACGGCTTGAATTGCTGATAAAATTGATGTTAATAATTAAGAAAGAGGTTTCGGGGAGCACTTGGAAGAACCAGCAATATAACGTTGTTTGTAAGGACATTTATTTAGTTTAGGTATCCAATACAGTTAAGGAAGATCCAGTTTTTCATCTTTGGTTGAAATTCCAAAGGAACATAGAACAGACCTATGATTACCCAGGATTTAATCCTTGGTAAGTGTCGTAGGGATATACGTTGAGTTTCCAAGTAAATTGTCACTACCTAATTCATGTATGAAGTAGTTTATGTAATGTGATTTACTCACAAAAAGATGTTGTTTGGGGTTTTAAATGCGGAGACAACAACATATTTGTCATTGACGTAGGACAGGTGCTTTGCAACATTTTGGGTCGTTAAAGATTGATGTAGCATGTGTATTTATTGAACCATTCAGGTTTTTAATTCCGATTTGAATCAACGACCTCACAGCCTTAATCCATTCAGAAAGAGTATCTACGTCTTCTTTCTCGCGTTTAACCCATTACCTGGCATAATATCAATTATCCATTTTTACAAGATATATATTGCCCACTTCTTTTTTCAAATGAATGAAATTTGCGATTTTTTAAAAAGCATAATCGTTTGCACGAATTTCACGAACAAAACAAAACAAATAGTGATGATTAATAGATAGGTGGCGGAGCTTATAATTTTATAATCGTGGGTTGCGTTCATACGGCATGGGTTCTTTCATACGAAATGAAAGCAAATGACGGAATCAAACAATTTGTCTTCTCGCCAATAAAAGATCAAGAATTGTATGAATTGAACCTTACTGTAAATATTGTTGATTAATATGTGTTATAGATACAATGGATAAGAGTTGATTCTTGAAAAAGAAACCATGAGCCCGGAGGACGAATGGTTTGTTTTTCATGAATCAACGTTCATCCGTTGTGTTTCTTACTTAACCTATTGTGTCGATGTCTTTTCAAAATCAAAGCCTTTTCTAAGTAGAAGGTATTGTAATTGAGTTTAAATGACCATGTTATCATGTTCAACGATGCATTAAGAAATCAAAGTTCACAATTAATTGGTTAGAGAAATACAAATATAATACTACGCGTCTGTTTTTAAATATTATGCATCTGAATATTATCCGTAATTTACAAAAAAGACATATTCGAACTTATTTCTAAGTATATATAATAAGTATGTTACCAAATATTTTATCAAGAAACATAATTCTATGCACTTCACGATTATTCGCATAGGGATTTGCAAATAAACATTTGTAAAGATATGTGGTAAACTGATGACATCGCACTATATTCATAAACAAAAATTGACAAAAAGAATGTAATCATTTTCTTTTCAAATACGTGAAATAGCCAATAAAAATCCAAAAATAAACGGAAAAACCCCTTATTATTACAAAAATGTCAAAAATAATTAACATACAAAATAAGAAAAATGGAAAAACTAAAGAATAGTGATAACAAAGAGAAAAAATTCGTAAGGGTTCCGCGGAACCCAGTGTCTCGCCTACTTTTGCTGTTAGTCGCAAAAAGGGATTCAAACCTAAACCGTCAAGTCTCTACTTCTAACTTGACTCTATAACTCATTGATCTTAACCTTGCGGCTACCAACTTATACTATAAGATTGTTTATTATGTATATACAAAGGTACAAGTCCTGTGTGTTTGTTGTACCGATGTGTATCATATGTTCATTTATATATGTAAAATAGACATCTAAATTGCAACGTATTGGTGGCCGAGAGGTTGCGTCGGTGTCTTGATGTCAGTTACGAATAACAGATTTCAACGAGGGGCTCGATTCCCAGTGAAGGCATATACAATTACAACAGTTAAAGGTAAGTTTTTAAATCAATTCCATTAGTGAACAGAAATGAGTAAATTAGCCAGTTCAAACTTTGTCAGAAGAAAATACTAAGTCGTTATATATCAGACCAAAGTCTTAACAGGGCAATAGTAAATCAAAAGGGGCAGACAACGATAACTATTTGTGATTTACCCGACGAAAAGAGACAAATATTAAAAGACAAAGTAAATATACTAGAGGAACGCTTTGCACCATTTAGTCAAACTAAACTCTCTCGTGTTGAATCCAAGGAACGTCGACAAAAGGCAAGCGAGACATTACCGAAGTTAGGTCAGTCAGTTCGAACACACAAATCTTACGTACCCAACTGCCCCATTAGCCTTGATAGAAACGCCCACCAAAGAGCAATTTAAAGATGCACTAATAGACTCCAAAATGAGACTGAGAAATAAACAGTACCTTCCAAAGGGACGAAACGGAAGATATACTGTTGCCATTTGAACTTGGCTGAAAGTAGAGCGAGGATTTCGAAAACTCCATACTAAAATTTACGACAAAAGAGACGATTTTTCATTCTCTATTGTTAATTTTCCTTTTTTAGACGGCGATGTGCCTTTGGCTCCATCATACGGTGTTTATATATCCCAACTCGTTCGGTATACCCATGTGTGTAGTGATGTCATAGATTTTAACGAACGTAATCAATGCATCACTGGTAAATTATTAAGTCAGGGATTTCGTTACCATAAATTACTTAATACTTTTACTAAATTCTTTCATAGATACAAAGATTTGATTAGCAAAGTTGGCTGTACCTGTAGAAAACTTATTAAAAATGGTATTTCACATCCTAAATTTTATGGTAATCTTGTACTTAAAGCGCGGAAATCATTATGTGATCCGTGTAAATTCATCGAACCTTTAAACAAACTTATTAGTAAGGGTTATCGTACCAATGTTGTAATTAGATCTCTGAATATAGTTTACATTGGCACTAATATTGATTTTTTCATTAGCAAATTAAAACATAACTAAATTTGTATTTTCTTTTCAAACGGGATGTATAGAGACACACACACGTTCATTTTTATCTATAAAGAAGTCACTCCT